TGGGGACTGTGGAAGAAGGGGGGAGGACCAGAGAAGACAGGATCAAACAGCCTTTTTACTTAATGCAGAGGATTAACGCCTTAGGTTCCACAGTGAGCACACAAGCATACTTTACTGCATATGCAGACTGATTTTACTGTTGTGGGTTTAGTAACACTTTAAATATTTCCTTTTTTAACTCTCATAATATTCCCCTTGTACAGATGTGCCACTTTATAGGTAGGTTCAAGGCATCCCCCAAGGATGCTATTTAAAGGAATCTTGTATTTTTAATGTACCCCCCAGGGAACTGCTGAGATCTTCATGCCCTTTTGTTTGACAACTCCTTCCCTATTAGCCTAGAAAATGGACATTACTGGGTTCTAAATATTCAGCTCCCATCAATTTCAAGGGGATTCAAATTTGGCATTTTAACTTGGGTAAGGTTCACTAACTGTACCCTGAAATGAACCCAGGTACATTGGTTGTGATGGTATTGAATTTCACTATACTGTATAAGGAGAAAGTGTGGGCCTTCACAGAGCATGGAGCCTTTTTTCTGTGTCAATGAAATCATATTGGTTACTTTGTGCAACATATGAATGTAAAGCCAAAAATTGTGTACTTTATAAATACAAAAAGAAATACCCTCTTTTGGGACTTTACTGCAACTTAATCAAATATCACACATATACATTGATATATATAAAAAAAGTTTTTCTTTTTTTTACAAAAATACCTAGAAAATACCCATATATAAAAAAAAAAAATCTCTATGGTAGCTCTGACAGAATTTGTTTAACATCAGGTCCTATATGTGGTCAAAAACAGAAAAAATTACATACATTAGTACATATTGATTTATGTCCCTGATAGCCCCAGTGTGTTTCGATCATTCCAATTCAAGATCTTCTTTAGGGAAATAAAAAAGAAAAGGATCTCTTTGTCTTTTCTTTCTTATGCCCCCGAAGAAGATCTTGGATTGGAATGATCGAAACACATCGGGCTATCAGGGATTATGTGTACTGATTTATGTAATTTTTTCTGTTTTTTTTACCCCATATAGCGGCTGATGTTAAACACATTCTGTCAGAACTACTGGAGAGATTTTTTTTAAATATGGGTATTTTCTAGGTATTTTTGTAAAATAAAGTATACAAACTTTTTTTTATATATCAATGTGTATGATTAAGCTATAATAAAGTTCCTAGGCAGTTTTTCTTTTTTGTATTTATGATGTTTTAGGGATGAGCAGCCAATATTAGAATTCTATGTATTGGAAGCTGTGGACTTTAATACACATTTGAGGGCTACCTTGGTCATTCAACATATGAACTGCTATCATCTTTTCCTGTGGCAACTACAGACTATGCAAATACAGCATGTACTGTACCTTCTTTTTGCCACTTCTACCCACTCCCACCTTAAGTCTGCTTCTAAATTACATGGATAATTGGACATGCACTTAAAATTCAAGGTAGACAGTTCTATAGGATTTAGTCCTACAAAAGGTAGGCCTCATAACCAACAATGGGCACAAGGGGAGAGAATGTTCTCCTATCACCTTTATGTTCCCCTGTACTATCATGATCGGGCTTTTTAGCTGTGCGCCAAATCAACATTTCCAATAGATAATGGAGTGTTCAGAGTAAGAACAGTATATTTCTCTTATGGTTCTTATGGAGTCACTTTATTAACCTCTATTGAAAATATGTCAAAAGGTAAGCAATTCACCTTCTTACGTCTTCACAAGTTGCAAGAGAAAGCTCAGTGAGCAGATGCATACTTATTGAGGAGCAAATATCATAACATAACATTTACTGTATAACAAGGACTACATATACTCCACTTCCTTTTTGTTGTCCAAATCACTATGAGAGCAAGATTGACATGCACAACATTTAATAATTTAGGAACAGGGATCTTGCCCCCACCCCACATGCTAGAAGCACAACTTATGGTCATACACAAAGAGGGCAAATAAACTATCTCCTGTGCAAGCTACACCCATATCACTATTGACTGTGGAGCTCAAACTTTTCACAACATCCTGTTGAATTGCCTACTCCCTCTAATCCCATTGCTAGTACATACAGATCAAGTGGGATTTGTCCTAGGTAGGAAAACCTGGGATTGCATCCTAAAAATGCTAAATGCTATTACTGTATATGGGGAGAGCAGACACGATCCTACTATCAACTGATGCGGAGAAGACATTGGAAAAAATAGCATGAGACTATATGTTTGAAGTCTTGAAAAGCATTGGCCTTAAGGAACGTATGATGTCCTGAATTAGAGCTACATACTCTTACCCATGTGGAAAAGTCAGAGTGAATGAGATTCTGTCTGAAAGCGTTAATATAAAATACCAGATGTCTTATCACAGCTTTGTTGTCACAAATTAGGCAAGACCTCCACAAATTGAAAAAACACAGACTTTTTGACTATTATACATATTTAACACCATTCCTTCAGAATTCACTAGAAAAGTTATTCAATTATTTTTGGGGGCTAGAGACGGGGCCACATATTTGGAAAACTACTTTATGAAAAACTAAAAGCAAAGGGGATGTAGGATTACCAAATCCCAAACACTATTATGCATGTCACCTTGTAAGAATCACAGACTGGTTTATCAATGAAAATGTCAATGCATGGGTAAAAATATAGCAAACTTGGACTAAATGCGCATTAACAATTATACCGTGGTAAATAGATACAAAGTTAGATATGGTCCTAGACAAACACTCACTGAAAGGCTCCACCCTGCAAATTTTCTATGCTTATTGTAAATCCAAATCCACTCTTTAAACCCAGAGAAGTCCTTTCATATCCTTGAAAGAGAATACCATGAGAGAATTCTCACATGGTAACATGCCTGAATTTACTCAAAACTGAAGTAACAAGGCCCTACCTTTTGGTTGGAAGAGTTTTCAATCAAAACATGTTTTTATCTAACAGAGAGATTCCGTCTCAAACAGGCATGGAACATCTGGATATATTTCCAGACTGAAATTTCCTAATACTCAATTTAAACACAAGTATACCCACATCTCAACACTGAAAAAAATATCAGTACAAATAACACCCATGTGATCTTCTGGATCTAATCTGCTTTGGAAGGCTCTTCTAGTGCTCCAGTTCCAAGCTTTAAACAAAGGTGGAAGGAGGAGTTACAGTAAAGGTTTCATTAAGGAATGATCAATAGGCTAACTCAAAGCACTTCCTTCAGTGCGCAAACCCAGAAGACAAATGACAAAGTTCTCTCTTTCTGGCTAAGAACCCCTGAGATAACATCAAATACCGTAGATCTATGTCAGGGAATGGGAAGATCGCCTCGGCGATCGAAATCTGCACATGCGTAGAATCCTGACAAGACATACAGGCACTTGGCACTAGGACCCATACTATGATTCTAAGACTTTGGAGAACACCTATAAAATTTCAATCTTCTGTATTATATAAAACAATAAAAAGACAAACTTAAGCCATAGCTGACAAGGCAATCCTAGTAAATGTTAAAGTGGACAAAGACAGCCAAAACGTTTTCTGCATGACACATTTTTCCTTATTCTCCCCTTTCCTTTCCAAGTCTTAGCTACACTTCACCTTTATTTGTCTCAGTCCCACCCTTTCCAATTATACTGGGTCACCCCTTATGGAGTCTTGGGCTCCCCTCTTGAGATCACGTTTTGAGCTAACGTTTGGAACCTTCTTCTGTACTTATTTTGAGACAGAAAAAGTGGTGGGAGTATTATCATACTCAATACAATGTTGCAGGACACAAAACTTACCATCAGTTACTTATTCCAGTTTTATTTTCCCTGTTCCCTCTGTTTTCTCTCTGTCTCTTTTTTTACAACAAGGGATTACTCTCTTTTCTCTCGATTTTTCCCCATGTTACTTTCATTTACCTCTCCCCCTCCTCTTTCCCCTTCTTCCATCTTTTTTCCTTTACATTGACATACTCAAATCCTTAAACTGAGTTAGATAGACCTGAACAGTTCTGATTCTGAACTGTAACATGGAACATAAAATCGAGTATATTGTAGCTTTCTCTTGTGCAAACAATAGCTCTCTTGAAAAATGCTATACAAACTCATACATTGTTTGACAGTTTTCCTGTGTGATCTCTTAACCACCGCCATATCTTTACAGATTATATAGTATGAGAATTGTCAAAATTGCAATTACCAAGCTGTAGTCATGTAAATGTGTACATTTAAAGTAAGCGTAATGCCTCTGTTCTATTTTCTGTAAAAACTCTTTTCAAACATTTAAATTAAGAATGTTTTTTTAAAAAAGGCAGGCAAACATGAATATACCAACTACAAATTTAGGATCTGCTGTGACATACTGTACTTAACTTGAAGAGCCTTGGGGGAAACAACACAGCACTAATGAGTAAATCCTTTACTGATTTTTTTTTCCCTCACCATCAGCAAGTGGGGACCTTATGATAATGGCACAGACATTGTCCTTAACCTGCAGTTGGAAGATTTCTCCCATAATCTCTCCCATAATCCCTGTTGTACCACATTTCAATTTTGTGATCCACCTTTGATTATTGCGGAGAAAGAAAGCCCTTAGAGGATGTAATATTCTCTATGGGCTTTCTTTCTCCTCTTGCCTCCTTGTCAGCTTGCCAGACTCCTGCATAATAGTGTGTTTTTTTTTATTCTTAACCACTTACCGACTACGTTATAGCTGAAAGATGGCTACAGCGCGGTCTGCTAATTCTGGTAGGTTACCTATTGATGTCCTCCCAATACCCCAAACCTTGACTACATTGTAAACAGACCTGCTTATCAGCAGTCTTATCCTCACGCACTGTCACAGCGAGCACAGGAAAGCCGGTAGCTGGCATTTCTGACAGGAAGCATTTACACTGATAATCAGGGCAGCCTATGAGTGTCCATCAGTGCAGCTTATCAGTTTGACCTATCAGTGCTGCCTATGAGTGCCTCTTCATCAGTGTTCATCAGTACTGCCTAACAGTGCTCATCAGTGTCACCTATCAGTGCCTCCTCATCAGTGCCCATCAATGCTGCCTCATCAGTGCCACCTCATCAGTGCCCCTCAGTTTAGCTTCATCAGCACACATTAGTGAAGAAGAAAAATTATTTGCAAAAAAACACAAACCAAGAAAAATTTAAATTTTTTTCAAAATTTTATGACTTTTTTTTGTGTTTGTTTTTTTTTTTTAGCAAATAATAGCAAAAACACAGTTGTGATTCAATACTACCAAAAGAAAGCTCTATTTGTCTCAGTACAGTGAGTCTTGTACATGCATGACAGCATAATTGTCATTCAAAGTGTGACAGCGCTGAAAGCTGAAAATTGGCTTGGACAGGACGTGGGTGAAAGCGCTCAGTAGTGGTTATTGTGGTTAATTTGTTATAGCTCTAGATCTACATCTATTATTATTACTCTCCTGAAGAAGTGAACATTGTTCATGAAACACATTGAGAGGCAATAATCTCGGGTGTAAGGAATCTTAGAATTAACAAAAAATATCAATATGTAAAATATTGGTCATGTGTACTGTGTATTGCTGAAATACCTTGTACATATATAATTGTAAGTGAAATCATCAGCCAAAATATGTGGTATTAACATGTATTTTTATATGATGTAAGAATTAAAGATAAGACATTTTAGATTTAGTTGTATATTGATTATATGGTAAAAAAAAAGTCTTTAGTATTGTTAGTTCCATGTTTAGTAATAGTTGTCTTTGAATTTAACTATAGCTAAAGTTAACAGCAATGTAGAAAAGCAACATTTTAGTGGTTTAAAGAAAAAATACACTCCAGTGTAAGTTCTTGGTTTTTTTAGATGTGTTCCTAACAGGAGAGCATGACAATAACAGATAACAATTAGAAGACATCTGGGAAATTCTTACCTGTCAAAATAATTTTACTTTGCGTGCTACCTTTATGAAATAAGTACACAGTATGTTAGCTATGTTTTTACAATTCTAAAGATTTGTATGCATGATTTCATGAATTTGACTAGTATCTAATTTGCATAAACAATAACTACCTGTCAGTAGCACAATGTTTCTATTTACTTAACTTTGAAGTGTTTGCTGTGGTGAATGTTTATTTTAATTGTCAAACTACACTTTCTGACAGGTTTTTTAAATAACAGAAATGTAAATAATGTTTGCAACTACCTATCTCCTAATTCATATTTTATAGCACTGCATTGCTTTACAGTCAAAATGTAAAAAATAAAGTTTATCCAAATGCATTAAAACAGATCAACCATGTAAACAAAAATAGTTTTTTCATAAAGTATGAATTTAAAGTAGGCAAGAAAAAGATTCTTTTCTGTTCTTGAACAATCCAAAAATAATTGCATTTTTTACTATGAAAGAATTTATAAATATAATGTGGTAATCTCCTGTTTGATTTCAAACTCCCATTAGCATTAATATACAATACTTTGCATCATGTCTCTAATCCTCTGCTTCTTCCCTTGAGAATCTTCTAATTAAAATAATTGGTTTAGTAAAACTTATAGTTGAGGTTAAAGCAAAATGAATAGTATAAGTTAGATCTAAACCCAAAGTATTGCAATATTTGAGCATTACAAATATTACAAATTGTCGTAAGCAATGCAAGGTTTGCTGATGGATAATGTTTAGAATACAGAAAAAATATTTGAGCTATATTTTAGCATTTCTGTGTGTTTTCAGATCTAATGCCATGATCCTCAGCCAGCATGTGGGAATTGCATGCTGTTAATATTGCCTACCTGCTAGACAGTGGTCAGTATCTGCTTAGCTAAAGTAATAAAATTCTCAAACATGAAGACAATCAACAAATGCCTTTTTAAATAATACTATAACAAATGCAATCAGTGAATAGATCTAATTCAAGACTTGATTAAAAATCAATATACATTAGCTAGAGCTTTGGCCACTGACCACTGATTCACTCATGTTTAATTCTACAACACTTAAAAAAAATTAACCTGGGATCCTCGGATACATTATATTTCCAGAGACAATCAGTAAAGCTGATGACATGAGATGTGAACATGGCACATCATTCTCGTTAGTCTTACTTTGTTTTTGGGTTTTTTTTGTATCTAATTCTTCATCTTCTTCCTTCTTCTTTTTCTATTTCTTCCATTGTTGGAGATTTTGTACTTACCTAGGTCTTTAAAGAGATATGTTCATTAGGGTTGACCTTTTCATGAGAGGGTGATTAGAATGAAATATATACGACATAGCCATTGATATCCTCTCAATCTGTTTTGATATATAGTTACAAGAATATAAAACCTATCCCTTTTGTTACCCTTGATGCTGTATATGGAGAATTTACAATGCTTAATATGTTTACAGAACAAAATCCAAGAAAATATGTTTGTATTAACATTTGTATATATGCATGCCAATAAAAATATTGAAAAGAGAAAAAAATAAAGCTGAACTGCAGACAAAAAATATTTCATGTAAATATGTTCCTCAATATCCATAAAGAAATCTCACTTATGCACCAAATGCCTTTCTAAAGCCAGGTAATAACTTGTATAAGTAGCTGTGAAATCAGCACTGAGCTGCACATAGCCTGTGTAGAGAGCATAGCTATGGATGAGACCCAGCAGGCTCACACACTAAAGGCTGCCTGCAGAAAGCTAGAGGGTGACAAGATCAGTCACCATACACAAGAAGATAATGAAGCAGTGATGGGTCTTTTATAACAGGAAGGTCCTGCACAAAATTTCAAACTGAATTGCTGTACAGATCTGTAAGAAATGCAAAAAGCAATATTCAAGTAAGAATATACAACCCTCAAATATTTTGACATGATTTGTTTATCCTGGAGTTCAATTTTAATAGAATTACATTTGGGATATTTAAGGGTTCTCAAAATGCTTATTTCAACCATATATCCTCCAGCATCTGGTGCATTAGGGGTAGTCAAAAATTGAGCCCTCTTTCTAGATAACATTAACTTTTCACACAATTTATGCCCTAAAAGCAACAGGGTGGCATTACAAACAATAATTTGTGCCAATTTTTGTCCACAAGTCATCCTTGATAGTGTGGGGAATTGGACCATCAATCGCTATTTTGTTCCAAAAGTCATAAGGGTTACTAATAACTTGCTGGGTGGTTTGTATTTATTATTCTGAAATTCTAGCACATACAAAAGTTACAAAAATCTGTTAAAAAGGATAATTCACTTTTTCAATATGCTGAGGACAAGTATAAAATTTCATTAAAGTAGAACTGTAGGCAAAGCTTTTTTTTTTTCATTTTGGATAGAGTAAGGGAGGGTTACAACCCCTGTCAGTTTATTTTTTGCCATCTGTGTTTTTTCATAGACCTCTCTTTCTGTGTTTGAATGCTGCTCCCTACCATGATTTCAACACCATGCTCAGTAAATGTCCACCTTTACATCAAAAATCTGATCCGAAAACTTCTCACTTAGCAAAGACATTACCACTAGTGTGAAAGATGATCATAATTGGGAGAACTTATCACACATTCCTCAATAAGCCAGCTCATCTGCTCTCATCTTGGGCCTCTTCTATTGAACCAGTGGACCTTCAGACCTTTTTCTCTGAACCCATCTGAATGCCATCTTTGAATCTTGACCATCTGATAAGACAAAGGAGTGGCCAAGAATCCATACACTTTCCTCATAAGCTGAAAAAGAGAAAATCTTTGGAAATTTCCAGTTCCGAAGACCAACACTCCAGTCCACCCAGAGACTAAACCACACAAAAAGACATGATTATATTCCATTCATGACTCAACATTCCCCCCACATATAAGCCCTGCATGCCCCATATTTTCATCTCCCAGACATTAAATATCTTCCACTGGCCCACCCATGGCAATCAATGTGGTGGCCTTCCCAATCCTGAATGAGTGCATTCCAAAATGTTTGGGGTTCAAGCCTGCTCACCTCAATCACCATCTGAGTATGGAAATCAATTGGAATTGTGCTCAAGGGGTCCCATCCATGTCTAATACAGGGAACAACCATCAACCTTGATTGCTAGATATCTCTCTTGTCTTTGACAGGAAAAAAACATTGTCCATTCTGTTCATGACCCCTTTTTCAATTGCTTAAAAGTCTAGGACCAATTACTGGGCTGGTTTACCCTCTTAGTCTTTGTCTGAGTTCTAGCCCACTCTTTCATCTTCCTAATTGCAAAGCATCTTGTGGCGTCATACTCACTGGCCTACCTGGAAAAGAAAAGTATAGCTGACACCAATCTTGTCACTCTACCATTTGGCACCACACTTCTCTTTAGGTTCATAAGGTAGGGTCATAGTGCCCTTCTCTTTAAGTGCCAATAAGGCACTAGGCTATGCCCACTTCCTGCCTAGTCTCCACCCTGTGAGGCTACACTTTTTTCTCTTGTCTGCAATTACACCATCCCCCAGGCAAGCCCCCCATGCTTTTATGATCCCCTGACCTGCCACATGGAGTACAGCAACCCCTCGTCATCACTATGGAATCCATGACTTTAGCACAGGAATATGAAACCTGTCAGGGCCCCTAACCTTAAGGAGACCTTGATCCTATGGAAATAATTCACTCACCAAAGCAACTACTACAATAACACTTTGCTAACAATATGGATAACTGTAAAATTTCAGATTGAAAAAAATGTTAAATCCTATTTATCCTCAATGGTCATGCCTTTGGTATATTTTAAGTGGTGTTTGCAGCACTCTAGATGCCCCTACTGGTTTATAAACTGTGGAATTTTTAGATGGGAGAGGTAAAACCAATGGGCACCTTCAGAGATCTTGTCACAGCCTACAACAGTTGGCACTAAAAAAACATCTACCTATAATGTAATTGATTAATGAGCAAATCTAAGTAAACAAACAACATCACACTAATCACTTCATTTTCAACAATTTGCTAGTCATGTAACAATAAACACCACAATGAACTGGATATTTTAAAAAGCCTTTTTTTTCCTTTCTCTAAAATCCTGCAGTTACATATATTTTTTTTTTTGCTTCTTGTACTATTTTAAAACTGCATGCTTGCACAAATAATAATCCATATGTTACATATTGTATTTGGTCTGTCAAATAAATTTCATACAATGACATCTTGG